GGTCAATTGACACCATAATGTTGAACTTGGCGTCATCCCTGAGGCACACAAATGTTAAGGTGGGTCAGATTTTTGCTAAATCCGTAAATTACTCGTAAGATATCGGGTTATGAAAATTAGGGACCGAAACAAAGCTCATTATATTCGGTTCAAGTCGAATTTTTGGTAGCCCGGGTTTGGTTCGGGTTTGGATTGGGCCGGTTAAAGCCTAAACGTGAAATTATCTCATTGTCCTTTTATATTTTAAAACATATTTTTAAATAAAATTAATCAAAATTACAAACTTCAAATAATAACACAAATATTAGTCTCCAAAATCACCAACAATTCAAATCCAAAGAAGGTAATTATGTTAATATTTTGTTTAAGATGCATATAAATAAATAATACGGAGTATATGCTTTCTAAAAATATTATGAAATAAAATTTATGGATAAAAATGTGACTCAAGTTACAATAAATGTATTTTCATGGTCATTGCGGTAAACAAATTGAACATATTTGTAGTTACTAAAAGTTACTAAATCATTTTTTCATCCACCATGATCAGGGATGGATTTAAGGGGGGGCGCGGGGTGCGACCGCCCCCCTTGGACTTTCAAAATTTTCTACTATATATGTAATGTTTTTGTAAAATTTTGATACTTTAATTAGATTCGACCCCCTTAACTTTTTTGGTTGAACATTGCCCCCCTTAACTTTTAGTTTTTAAAATTGATATATAGTCTTACATAATGTAATACTTAATCGGAGATTTAAAAAAGGAACATCTAAAATAATTTACATAACTTAAATAAACAATAGAAGAACTCATTATTTGAGATTTAGGATACTTATTATATAAAAATTCTTAGTTTTGTAATGTTTAATTATCTTTATTCGATAACTAGTAAACAATTTTGAAAAATATATATCAAACGATATTAAATACCAGACACTCTAGCTACAAAGTTTTTAGATCATGTGAAGTAATCCAAATTATAAATATTTATTGACATTGAATTACACTATTCATTTACTTCTTACATTCTAAAAAGACTTTATTGCATAGATAATAAACTTTAATTATTTTAGCATTAATACAAATATAATATGCACTATATATATGAATTATCAATATAATTTTATTCTAAAAATAATAATATCATACATACTATTGTAATATTAAAAGAACTGTTTGTGACTTATGAACACCCTCAATGATAGACAAAAATTGTAATTCAAAAATCAATTCTTTTTTCTATGAGACTCATGTAGTTAAACAATGTTGAAATTATTTTAAAAGTACTCGTGAATGTGAACCTTATAAACTCTTTATATTTAAATAAAATGTTATATATCCTTTTTTATTTTTGTATTATTTTCCATTGATTTGTCATTTCTTATGCTTTAATGTATCAATACTTTTTTCTAGAACACTCCAATTATAAAATTAAAGTTATTTTGTCATTGTCTAAACTTAGAATGTAATATATAGATTTAAATGTCGTCACGTATGTATTAATGAATTTTTTTTGAATAAAAATAGCCACAGAGCCTTACACTAGTGAAAAAAATTGCCCCGCTACACTAGAAAAAAAAATCACCCCGCTACACTAATGAATTTTTTATCTCCTACACTAATGAAAATTTTCGCCCCCTTGACTCGAAATCCTGGATCCGTCCCTGACCATGATTATAATCATACATTATGAATTATTTATAAATTATATTCGTATATTAATTTAATTTTATATTAAAACTAATTGTTTCGAGTTTTTATTGATCGAGGTCGGGTTTTAGTTTTTAAGGCTCGTTAATGAGCCCAAACATTCGGGTTTTATCCGTTTTTTTTTATTTAGGCCGATTAAAAAGAAAAAACTCGGATTGGGAACATCATTCGGACAGGAACAAGGACAACTTCTGGGTTTCGGGTTGGTTTTTGACTTTTTTCCCACCCCTACCCAGGGATGGAGCTATGTAAGGGGGCCTTGTCCCCCGTCCCACTTTTTTACTCCCTCGGTCCCTAATAACTTTGTCAAGTTTGATTGGCACGTAAATTAATAAAGTAAAAACTGTGTGGTTGAGGTTTGTGCAGAGAAGAGAATTAGGTGGAATCACAAATTCTTTACTTAAAAGGGAAAGTGGCAAAGTTAATGGGATAATTAAAAAAGGAAAGTTGACAAAGTTATAAAGGCAATATTTTTTAGTAGTAGTAGTAGTAGACTAGTAGTAGTAGTAGTAGTAGTAGATATGACATAATTAGAAAAGATTGTGTCAGGACTACCTGATAGAAGCTTGCATTTGAGATCTTTCAGGTATATTTTTTTATGAAATTTTGTGAACATGTATTTCATGAAGTGTATATTATGTTCACCGAATTTCAGTTTAAATTTCAACCGGGAAGTGAATTAAATAAATTATGAAAAAAACTGTGTTTTTTATACGTAGTATATATTTTGGCGCAATGTTTTTCAATAACTTATTTAATTGACTTGCTGATTGAATTTTAAACTGAAATTTAGTTTAAATAATCTCCACATCGTGAATAACAATGTCACAGAATTTCATAAAAAAAACTCCACCCGGAAGCACCTCAAACATAGTCACCCGAACGGTGGATCCCGTCAACTAATTTTGAGTGGATCATTCCTCATGAAATAATTACATATAACTGATTAAATATATGACACCGGAAATAAGTGAATTAAATAAATTATGAAAAAAAGTGTGTTTTTTACACATAGTATATATTTTGGTGCAATGTTTTTCAATAACTTATTTAACCGACTTGTTGATTGAATTTTAAACTGAAATTTGGTTTAAATAATCTCCGCATCATGAAGAACATTGTCACAAAAATTCATAAAAAAACTCCACCCTGAAGCACCTCAAACATAGTCATCCGGACAGTGGATCCCGTCAACTAATTTTGACAGGATCATTTCTCATGAAATAATTACATATACCCCCTCTGTCCCGTAAAGAAGTTCCTAGTTTGACCTACACACATATTTATGTAAGGTAGAGTTTTGTTTTGACTTTCCAAGTATATCCATACTTTATGTCAAATCAAACAAAAAGTGGATAAAAAGTAAGGGTAGTTTCCTTTTATAGAAATGAGAATTTCTTTTTGAGACATCCATGAAAGGAAAGTGGAAACTTCTTTGCGGGACGGAGGTAGTATATGATTAAATATATAACAAAATATGATTGGATAAGTCATATTTTGAGAATAAAACAATAATAATTCTGTTTATGATCTTTATTTATGTTTTAATCCTATTTAAAGAATTTTTTTCTTTACCATTTGTGTTTCTTTTTTGCTTCCTCTGTGACTAAATCCTAGCTTCGCCCGAGTCCTTACCTAGAGTCACATCTGCCCTCCGGAGCAAGGTATAAACTATTAAAATGAAAATAATGAAATCTTGAACTTGACTTTTTAAAATGGATGACCCCGTCCAGGTCAATATTAAACTTGTTTTTTAATTAGAAATTGTCCTAAATAGGAGTAAAAATACCTTAAAATTCGAAAATAGGAGTATCATGTTTTTTATTTCTTGAATAAGAGTAATCTGTCAAATTTCAAAAAAATGTCATGTTTAAAAACCTAGTAATGCCAAACTTGATGAAATTTACTCCTATTTAGGGAATAAAAAACATGATATTCTCTTTTGTAATTTTAAAACTTTTTTACTCCTATTTATGTAATTTACTCTTTTTAATCTATTTTTGTGTCCTTGATTGTTATTGGTGCTTCTTTAAGAAAGCGATGCAGAGCTCATTTGTTTTTGGGAGATTTACTCAAATAGGAGTAAATACAAGGATAATTACAACAATAGGAGTTTAAAGTTTAAATTCCTAAAATAAAACTAACTCGTCCTATTCTACTCTTTCCTTTGTCTTTGATAATAGGATTTTTAAACAATCATTATGAAATATAAAAAAAATCAAAATAAATAAAAATAAAAATCGTAAAAAATAATTAAAATATATATACACTCCAACCACCACCTCGGCCACCTTCCAGCACCGCCACCTCCGGTTGCCGGAAAAGATTGCAAGTTGGAGAAAAAATGTCATCATGATGGCAATTTTAAAGATAAAGCAAGATAAAGATGGATATTTTCAAAGAGTAAAAACGTTATCTTTATGAAATTTTCAGAGAAATGTGACATTTTTTACACAAGATGACATTTTTCCGGAGTCGGTGGTGCTAGGAGGTAGAGGACGCGTTGGCACCGACCTACATATTTTTTAAATATTTTTTAGGTATTTTTTTTGGACTTTTTTTAAAAAAATTGAATAATTTTTTTTAATTTTTATTTTTTTCACGTTTTCATTATTATTTTATAATTATTTTATTATTTTTTATGTTTTTATTATAAATAAAACTATGATTTTCTTATTAATAAAATAAATCTATTAAAAAAAGGAAGAGGTAGAATGGGAAGAAGGGACATATATTAGTCCTGTTTTGGGAATAAAAGGATTGTATTTCTATTATTGAATTTTGGGCTTATTTTACTCCCACTAGAGCTAATACCCGTTTGTTTTTCTCTCCGGTCTCAACTCTCAACACCTAAATTTTGAATATTCGAAGTTACCTGCACGTGTAGCTCAGTTGATCGATTGATGAGAGATTTGGATCAATGGACCAAGGTTCGAATCCCCGCAGCGACCGAGTGGAGGTCACAGAACCTGAAATAAGGCTGGAGCTCTGGTGCGCACGAGTGTATGGGCCTATTGTCATTCTGCGGACTGAGTCACCGTGACTAACCTCCCCACCATACTGTCCGGTCAGGGGCTCCTGGGGTGGGAGATTCCAAGTTTTGGATCAATGAATATTCGAAGTTCTGCAACAATAATGACTACACCTATTCACCTCAAAAACTGTAATTTTTTCTCAAATCCACGCTTGTTGTATCACAAAATTTGCAGTGACAGAAAGATGAAAACACACAGCTCCAAGAATTCCTTGGAAATTTCACTTCTTCAGGGTACCATCAAACAGAGCAAGCAAGAGGAGCAACTGAACATCATATTATTGTATGAACATAAATATATAATTATTTCAATATATATTAAATTGAGAAGCAAATAACTGGACAGAGCAATTTACAGATTCCAGCAAAGAAATACAGCTCACAAGAAAATGAGAGCAAAACATAATGAAAGAAGAGGCTAGGGGTTAAACACAAGTTTCAGGCCCAAACACTCCAAAACCTCTCTCCAAGAAAACTTACAAATCTCCTCACTGGTCCTCTCTCTGCTGCTCCGCCCTCATCTCCGCCGCCGCCGCCGGATTCACCGGGCATCTCCGCCGCAGAATCTGTCGCCCCAGCATCATCTTTGTTCTTGAAATTCACCACCACAGACCCTTTATCATTACTTTTCTTTTTCTTTCTCCTCCTACTCTTCTCCTTCTTCCTGTGTAACCCATCTTCATATGCTTCTATAATCTCATCTATGATTCCACGGTCTGGCGAAGAGTCCCACCTAACCCAGAAATTTCTATAGCAGTTGAAGCAGTAACAGCTGAAGGACGGTGGGTGTTCGGCGGCGCCACCCATTGTGGTGGAGCTCTTGTGGTTGTGGGTGTTGGAGAAGTTTGCTGCTGAAGGGCAAGATAGGAAGTAACCCAAGATTTGTTTGTCTTCTTGGGACAGGGCTGCTACGAGGGTCAAGATTGCTGCTGGTAAGAAAGCTAGCTGGTTCGAAACTGGTGGTGGAGATGGTGATGGAGATGGATGAATTGTGCCTTTTCTATAGAGCTTCTTCATAGCGGATGGTCTGATCTGAGGGAATATAATTTGGTGGAGTGATAAAGAAAAGGAAGGAATTTTTTCTTTTCTTTTTCAGTATAATAATGAGGATGTGGGCATTCAAAGTTCAAACTGATTAGGGATGAGTGAAGTGTGAAGAGAGGGAAAGGAGCAGTGAAGTTGGTGACATATTCTTTTGTGTTGAATGAGGGCTTTTAGGGGGGGTTTCTCATGTAACGAAGTGAATCTCTTGCACAACTGTGATCAAATTAATCGATCATAGGGGGGCTTTAAGTGTCTAACATTGAAATCTATTGAATCAATCGATTTTTTGAAATTTATTAAGTTCTAATTGTTGTGGTTGGATTGGTTGATTTTGTTGATTTATGGGAAAAATAATATATACTACATATAATATATTTTATTAATAAAATAAAGAAAAAATTAAATGAAAAATTGGTAAAAATGGTCCTCTATAGTAATTCATTTGCAGTCAGAAAAGTAACCTCAACCTTACTTTTTCTTATTATTACACAACTCAACGCCCGAAATCAAAAGTTACGTATTTGTGAAAAAGTTGGCTCATAAGCCCGATAAGCCGAAAAATAGAGTCACCAAACAAACTCTAAATTTCAAACGAGTGAAGTTTTAGCTATTAGTCTCAATAAATAGTTAAATACGAAAATGACTTATATTAATATGAAAGAATCCCAAAGACTAGAAAATATTATTCGATTATATGCACAATTTTTTGCACAATTTTTATTGAGAGAAAATGACTTATATTAATATGAAAGAATCCCAAAGACTAGAAAATATTATTCGATTATATGCCCTGAGATGAGACTTAGAAACTATTACTCATTCAGGAGCAATAAAACTCGTTAATCATCACTTGAGCAACTGTAAGCCAATCATGATCGATGATATATTCTCGTCATTTATCATATGTTGTACTTGTCACATTCCAAAAGTAAAAAACAAAATTGTAGACCTTATTACACTAAAGATATCAATGATAAACAAAGCAACGTAATCAAACATAGCACAAAAATAAGACCACAAAAAATAAAAATATTGGTAAAAACTTCAAAATTCTTCCTTACAGTTTTCTTGATCAATCCACGATGGCGATTCCGGAGGGAGGCGGATTGCCGATTTGTCTTCTCCTTTACTCTCAGACCTCCAAGTTCGATTCATATCACCACGGCCGGAAGCATACATCATAGAGAAGCAAACCATGAAGAAGCACAATGTGATAACGGTCATCATCCCACTATCGCTCAAAATCATTTGACGGACAATAAACGGCGCAAGCCACCTGCCAGAGAAAACAAATCCTATACGAAAGCTAGGGAAAACGATGGCCGCGGGCTACAAGCCCCGCCGGAAAACGCTGCCCCAAGAACCCTAGGAAGAACTCTCATTGGCAAATTCGTAGCTCCAAAAAACTTGAAAAAAGAGAGGTCACTCGCCGCCAAGTTGTGGACTGCAACAATCATGCTCCTTTGACATTACCAAACTCAACCTGTGCACAAACATAAAAATAAATTGTCCTAAATAGGATTATAATATTGTCTAAGTTCTTAAATATGACGTTAAGTTTATTCTTCTCTAAATATAACTTCATATTACATTTTTATCCTTCATGTAATAAACCTCCAAAGTCGACTCTTCTCCCTCTGGGTTCTACAATTGATCGCCACCTGTACTTTTTCTTTCTTGATCGACCTCCATCAAATTTTCCCTTTGTCACGGACTGCAACCAATTGTGTGCTAGTCAGTTCCACCTCTTCCACAATTTCTCCAGGGCGACCAGATAGGTAATCTTCTTCTTTCTCTTCATCCTCCTTCTCCTCTTTCTCCGTTTTTTGTTGGACCTCTGTTATCTTCTTCTTTGGGATTGTTTTGATTTTCTCTTAAATGTTTTGCTTTTCAAATTAAATAAAACACTATTTCAGACCCGAAAACATTTAGATGAAAATAGAGATTTCAATGAACGACCAATTTTCAAAAATATTTGGATTTGAAATTTATTTATCCATTTATTAACGTTGATTCATTTGGACTCTAAAAATGTCATATCTACTAGTTATTAGAAAGAATTGTTACTTTTATGCCATTACATCCATCATGATGTCAATATTCTTTGAAATTACAAAATTTGGAATGCCATTTTTTGTCCCACTTGATAAACAAATGTCAATTTAATGGCACTAAGTCTATAAAGATGGCATTTTCTTACTGATTTTTCAGGTAACTAAATTTGTTTTAAGGGGTTTTGTACTTTTGTTTTTTAACGCACTTGTTAAATTAGAGAACATAAGTTGAAGTGCATAATTTGTATATCACAAGTTTGATGCATTAGACTCATGTATACTTTAAAGTATCAAAGTTATCTTTCATTTTTATAGGTACAATATAAACACTTAACTTATAATGGAGAAGTTCATCACGATCCTCATTGATTCATCACATAGGTACATTTGGTTCAAGATTTAGGAGGAGATCAAAGTAAGAGAGTAAAAGTAATGAAATAATTCCAAATATATAACCAAAATATAAGCAGTGGACAAAATTTTGACTTTAATAACTTTAGTGACTATAATTATATTCAAAAGTTACATCATAATGACTATAAAACTTAACCATGGTAACTTATAGTCAATATTTTGTCCATGAGTTTTTTATTTGTAATATTTTAGAAAAAACATGAAAAGTAATTCCAATCCTTAATTTGGTAAACAAATGTGAATGATGTTAAGTTTTCCTACACTCTTCTTCTCTCCAATATTATTACATCATTCAAAGTTTGAGATATTTTAGAACTACTTTTACTAAACTATACTCCCTCCGGTTCTGAAAGATCTTTACACTTTCCATTTTTAGCAGTACCAGAAAGATCTTTACACTTCCTTATTTGCTTTATTTGACAAATAAATCTACACAAAACAGTGCCAAACAGTGCCAAACAGTGTCAAACAGTGTTTATTTCCTTGAAAATTGTGAATTCAAAGTGTCAAGATCTTTTGAAACCGGAGGGAGTATAAAGGTATGTGGACTATACATTAGAAATGAAGACCAATACTCGTAAATTTTAGGTGAAATTAACAGAACCATATAACTCTTTTAGTGAAGAGTACACATGACTTTTTATTTACCTTTGATTGTGTAATAAAAAGTAAAATATGTTAGTGGTAGGAGTCATCATACGCAATGAAACCTTAAAAGTTTACAGTTTTGATGTTATACATTGCACTAATTATGCTTTACTCATTTGAAAAGGAGTTGTAAAAAGAGATTAAACGTTGCTACCGTTGTAAAGCATTGCTTCTCTCGGGCTACTCTATTTTATGTCCATTTTCATGTTCTTATCGAATCACATGTAGACACGTTCAAAACTAGATAAATTAATCACTTCGTATTCAACTCAACATTGTAGCTAGTTGCATTATGTATGAGGTTGACACCATTTGGAGTATTTCATCGTACAATCGTAAAGAAGATTTGTACTTTTACAATTTGCAGTATCATTCTTGTTTTCATTAAAAGGTCAAAATATTACTATTTTAGTTTCTTTTTATTTAGCCATCTTGATTTTTTCATTCACATATGATACACTTTGATTCATTATTTTAATTAATATATTTATGTAAAATTTAATAAATTTATACTTTTATGATAGTATTTTTAACAAAGAACATTTTTATATAATTTTCATATTATCAATATTATCGTGTATAAATATACAATCGTTCAAAGTTTAACATCATTGACTTAGAAAATAGTGTTTGGCTGAATAAAAAGGGACAGAAGGGTACGTTTTTTTACGCAATAATTAATAAGAAAACTTGAGTATGTTTAGAAGTACTCCGTATGTAGTAATTCTGATTGATATACTACCCGTACCAGTCAAAAGTTTGCATTGCAATTTGACACAGTTATTTAAATAATATATCAATAAGATAATTCAAATATATTTTGGGACATAGTTTTGATGGATACATAGTATAATGAAGTCATTGATGATAATTGTGATGTTATAGATGCATTATTTATCATATTTGATGATAAACAATCATTTAAAAGTGTTAATTGATTCGTAAAATAGAAATGAAAACGTATAAGTTGAATGTTAAAAAAAGTAAGAACTTTAGGCTGGGACAAAGGAAGTATAATATAACGGGGAAATTGATAGTAGTAATAAATGTGATGTTATGCTGTATTGTTTTAGTATGTGATGATTAAGTTGTCGATCATTTAAAAGTGATGATTATTTTTATAAATAAAAGTGAAAATCTGTAAATGGAATGCCCAAAAGAGGCAAATGAGAGCACTTATATGAAGGGAGTATTTTTACATACATTCATACAAATATTAAAAATTTGTAGTTTTATTATGATGCTTTTTAATTTTCATTTACTAATGTTCAGCTCCATAAGATGATTTAACAATTTACAACTTTTTTTTTAATTTACAACTTAACAGTTTGCCTCAGGTGCAGATGAAGTCGACCTTTCCCTTCTCAGGGTTTCCACCGAATAGGTGCGGATAGACTTCTACGCCATTTGAGTGCAGTAATCTACGGCGACTAGCAGCTCAGCGTGGCATCAGGCAGATCCAAAACGCAAAGCAGTGAGGGATGGCAGGAGGAAGACGGCGTTGATCCATCGGCATGAGCACGTCGCCCTACTCCAACGCCGCAGCCATGGTTTCTTCGGCCATGAGCTCGGCTGCCGTTGCTGCCGCTGCTTCCCAGGCGCCGGTGCACACAACAATTTCTCCTCAGACGGCACAGCCAGGCTTCTCCATGCCTCCGGCCGTCACAGCTGCAATCTCGAGTGCAACCGGATCCCCGGTTATGACGCCGACATCTTCAACGCTTTTTACCAATTTTCCTCCGCCTCCAAATTTCTCTATGCCTGCGCCTATTCATCAGTTTCAGTCGTTCCCATCGCAGCATACATGGCCTACGCCTGCCCCTATCTAGCCGCAAGATCATAATCCACCGCCTCCAACTGTTTTGCAGCCGGCAATGACGTCCTTCTTCGGCCCTACTTTCTCCGGGTCACCTGGAGTCCTTCGGCCGCCTGATCAACCGGAATTTGGCTCCCCGATGTCTAACCTTGCTTTGATACCATGTGAGATAATTGGGAAAACCGTACTCCAATAGGAGTCCTGGCAGGTATATTTATAGTAAAATAAAAGTTGCCAAAATACACGAGGATTCCTAATTTATATTAACTATTAGAGGGAAGCAGACAGGTGGAGAAGCTAATGGATCAGTA